TTGATCTATTGTAATTGTTTGGGGTGCCTTGAACCACAGGCATTAAAGGGTGTGAACTTAATTGAGACATGTGTGTATTCTGACTGCTCTACTGACTGTTTATTCCCCTGTCTGTCTGTCTGTCTCTCTCCCTCTTTTTCTCTCTTCCCTGTCAGGTTTTCCTGTTTCCTGAGATGCAACAATATTGAAAATGGGCCAATGAATAACCCTACCATGGCCTCTAAGTGTTCAAGTGAAGAGTCACAAGTCTTTCACTGTAAATCAAAAACTAGAAATGATTGTGCTTAGTGAAGAAGGTACACAGAAAGTGAGATAGGCCAAAAGATAGGAACTAAACAGTCCAATTGGGATCACAAAGGAAAGTTACTGAAGGAAATTAAAAGTGCTACTCCAGCGAACACACTATTGATAAGAAAGTGAAATAGCTTATTGCTGATAAAGAGAAACTTTTAGTCATCTGGATAGAAGATCAAACCAGCCACAGAATCCCTTCAGCTAAAGGCTAATCCAGGGCAAGGCCCTAACTCTCCTCACTTCTGTGAAGGCTGAGAGAAGTGAGGAAGCTGCAGAAGAAAAGGTTGAGGGGCGCTTGGGTGACTCAGTCAGTTAAGTATCGAGCTCTTGATTTTGGCTTAGGTCATGATCTCAAGGTTCATGGGAGCAAGTCCTGCATGGGTCTCTGTGCTGGAGGCTGCTTGGAATTAGTTCTCTCTTTCTCTCTCTGCCCCTCCCCTGCTCACACACCATGATCTCATGGTTCATGGGTTCGATCCCTGCGTCGAAAGAAGCCATCTCCAGAATATAAAAGTGCAGGGTGAAGTAGCAAGTGGTGATGTAGAAGCTTCAGGAAGTTCTCCAGAAGATCTGCTAAGATCATTAGTGAAGGTAGCTACACTAAACAGAGTTTTAATATAGGCAAAGCAGCCTTCTTTTGAAAGAAGATGCCATCTAGGACTTTCATAGTTAGAGAAGTCAATAGCTTGGGTTGGTCTGGCTTCAGAGCATCGAAAGACAAGCTGACTTTCTTGTTAGAGGCTAAAGCAGTTGGTGACTTTCAGTTGAAGCCAATGTTCATTTATCATTCGAAAATTTCTAGTGCCCTTAATAATTATGCCAAATCTACTCTGCTTATATTATATAAATGGAACAATAGAGTCTGGATGATAGTACATCTGTTTACAATATAGTTTATTGAATATATTTTTTAAATGTTTATTCATTTTTTGAGAGACATAGAGAGACAGCATGAGCAGGGGAGAGGCAGAAAGAGAGGGAGACACAGAATCCAAAGCAGGCTCCAGGCTCTGAGCTGTCAACACAGAGCCCAATGTGGGGCTTGAACTCATGAACTGTCAGATCATGACCTGAGCCAAAATCAGATATTTAACTAATTGAGCCACCCAGGTGTCCCAGTTTACTGAATATTTTAAGCCCACTGTTGAGATCTACTGCTGAGAAAAAAAAAGATTCCTTTCAAAATATTATTGCTTATTAACAGTGCTCCTGGTCATCCAAGAGGTCTGATGGAGATGTACAATGAGATTAATGTTTAATGTCTGCTAACACAACATCTTTTTTGCAGCCCATGGATCAAGGAGTCATTTTGACTTTCAAGTCTTATTATATAGGAAATAAACTTTGTAAGGCTATAGTTGACTTAGGCAGTGATTCCTCTGATGGATCTGGGAAAAGTACGTTGAAAACCTTCTGAAAAGGATTCACCATTCTAGGTGCCATTAAGAACATTTGTGATTCATGGAAAGGGTCACAATATCAGCATTAAGAGGAGTTTAGAAGAAGTTGATTCCAGCTCTCATGGATGACTTTAAGGAGATAAAGATTTCAGTGGAGGAAGTAACTGCAAGTGTGGTGGAAATAGCAAAAAAACTAGAATTAGAAGTGGAGTCAAAAGATGGGACGGAATTACTGGAATCTTATGATAAAAACTTAAATGGATGATGAGTTTGTTCTTTTGGGTGAGCAAAGAAAGTGGTTTCTTGAGGTGGTATCTACTCCTGGTAAAGATGTGGTGAAGACTGTTGAAATGACAACAGAGGACTTAGAATATCACATACGCTTAGCTGATAAAGCACAAAGAATTTTGAAAGAAGTTCTATTGTAGGTAAAATCAAGCAGTATCACATGCTACAGACAAAATGTTCATGAAAGGAAAAATCAATCAATACAGCCAACCTCACTCTTGTCTTATGTTAAGAAAGTGCCACAGACCCCTCAGCCTTCAGCAACCACCACCCTGATCAGTCAGCAGCCGTCAACATCGAGACATCGAGACAAGACCCTCCATCAGCAAAAAGATTGACCTGCTGAAAGCTCAAATGATGGTTGGAGTTTTTCAGCAATAAAATATTTGTAATGAAGTTAAGTATTTCATTTTAAATAATTTTTATAAAATATTTTAATTGTATTTTTAGACCTGATGCTATTGTACACTCAATAGACTATAGTTTAGTGTAAACATTCCTTTTATATGCACTAGGAAACCAAAAACTTAATTTGACTCACTTTATTTTAACATTCACTTCATTGCAGTGGTCTGGAACCAAACTTTCACTTTCAATATCTTTGAGGTATGCATGTGTATAGATATGTGCATGAATATATGTTATGAATATATGAGAATACATTATGTAATGCTTATTTTCTTCTTACATTTTTGGATAAAATATATATATATACTTCCCCTTTCTCTCTCTCTATTGATAGATACACATACAGATACACATACAGTATCTCTCAATCTATCTATCTATCTATCTCTGGAATTTACTTGTAAATTTAACAGTATGACTTGGAAATCTTTCCATGATAACAAGCATAGACAGAGCTACTTCATTCCAATGGTTGTGTAATGCTTTATATAGTATTACTGAACCATAATTTAATCATTGATGATTGATGGGCATTTACATTATTGACATTTTGTTTTTGTTATTTCAAATAATGCCACATCACTCATAAATATATATATATTAAAATTTTTCTCTTGGCTTGGATACTGTGACACTACACACTATATTGTCTTCACAATATCTTTAATCGCCTGTTTTACTTTCATTGTGTCTTCTTACACAAATCACCTAAATGTGGGCTCTCCCAACATTCTGTTGCTGCTTTTCTCATTTCTTCCTGCTACATTTAATGATCACATTCGTTTTCAAGTCTTTAATTAGTATTTCCATACATATAGTTCTCCAGTTAGGTCTTTTGCTGGATTTAATTCTTAATGAACTAGGTATGAATTTTCACATGCCCCTTAGTCATTTCCATATGAATATGTTTCACAGGTAGCATGTCCATAACTATTTCTTTACTTTCTCCTTTAAACTAATTTCTTTATGTCAACATTGATTATGAGGAGGTTATCAGTTGGTTAAGCATCCGAATTCGGCTCAGGTCATGATCTCACGGTTCATGAGTTCAAGCCCCCCCATCAGGCTCTGTGCTGACAGCTCAGAGCCTGGGACCTGCTTCAGAGTCCGTGTCTCCCTCTCTCTGTCCTTTCCCTGCTCACACTTTGTCTCTCTTTCTCTCTAAAATGAATAAACATTAAAAAATAATTTTACTAAAAATATTTTTTAAATTTTTTAAATTTATTTTTGAGAGAGAGACACACACACAGCATGAGCAGGGGAGGGGCAGAGAGAGAGAGGAAGATACAGAATCTGAAGCAGGCTCCAGGCTTTGAGTCAGCTGTCAGCACAGAGCCCAACGCGGGCCTCGAACCCACGAACCGTGAGATCATGACCTGAGCCGAAGTCGGCCACTTAACCGACTGAGCCACCCAGGTGCCCCAAAAAATAATTTTTAAAAATTATGATGATCAAAATCCAACCATCAAAAGGTGCCCAATTAGATCATCTTTGGCTTGGGTTCCAATCACCTTAAGTGGTAGGGACAGGCACCGTGCTTCATACAGTTGGTCAGCTGGTCAATTATCCAGATTAACCTTAGTTTGTCCAAGAACATAGTCTTTTTTCTCTGAGTTTGGTAATAATATAAGAAGGGCCGATACTCACCTGTTAAGAACAGCAGTGATTACACAAATGGTTAAAAGTGAAATACTTCCATTCAGGTTGGTAAATATTCCAACTTTGTTATGTACCTCCTCAATCCTCCTTGGCCCTTCTGCTGATCTCTCCTGGTGTAGCTACTGAAGGGTTAATGCCCGGGGTAACAGGAAAGGTAGGAGGAAGGAGGAGTTTAGGAATTTGCTTGAGTCCTACAGACATCCAGTTTGACCCATTAGTGATACCAGTTGTCAAATATTTTGGAATGTTGCCTGTCTAGAACCTGGAAAATTATCGTGAAAATAAGAATAAATATAGAGATAATGAAGAAACAAATTTAAATTCAAGATATGTACACATTTTAATCCATTTAAGTAGAGTAGGAAGTTGTACAATTATTGCCATCGTTTGGGTGACTAGTAATCCAATGCATTAGATTTGGGATTTCATTTGAATGTGAGAATTTTGATTAAGTTAACTTGCAATCATTACTGCAATGCTTGAAAAAAATTTTTTTTTACATTATAGGTTTTTATTGGTCATATAGTAATGTTTGTTTTAATAAAACAATGACATTAGTAAGTTCAGTAAACTGACTAATATATAATAGAGATTGTCCTGTCCAAGCAGGACTCTCCGGAAATATATAAAATAATACTATCCATGTGTCTAACAACCCATGCCTGTTGTCCATCTTCAGGTTCCTTTTCCCACATGGCAAATGTTTATTTCCACGTGTCAAGTAACAGACAAGGGCCTGTCGACTTTATCACTCACCTGCCTCTTGTGCACCTTCACCTCCATCTGGCTCATTAGGCTGGAATTCAAGATGCTGAGTTAGCCACAGCGCAGGACTTGGGACAGTGGGCTGCACTTGCAAACTGCAAATCGGCAGATGCCAAGGTAGGATGGCTTTTTTTTCCTCCTTTCATTCACACACGTTTTGCACACGTTTTATTTTATTTTATTTTTTAAAATCGAAAATGCTTCACGAATTTGCGCATCATCCTTGCGCGGGGGCCATGCCAGTCTTCTCTGTGTGTTCCATTTTACCACACATGCTGCCAAAGTAGGCACTATTTTGTTTATTAAAACATTTTTTGAGCGTTTATTTATTTTTGAGAGAGAGAGAGAGACAGAATGTGAGTGGGAGAGAGGCAGAGAGCGAGGGAGACACAGAATCCAACTCAGGCTCCAGGCTCTGAGCTGTCAGACTCACAAACTGAGATAATGACCTGAGCTGAAGTTGGACGCTTAACTGACTGAGCCACCCAGGTGCTCCCACACTATTTTATTGTTTTAAGCAAGCTCTATGCCCAGTGGGGGGCTTGAACTCATGATGCAATCAAGAGTTGTGGGCTCTACTGGCCAAGTCAGCTAGACACTCCTCATACATGTTTTGAATTCAGACATTTCTCTGACAAACTATTTTATAGATTTAAATGTGTGCTTCAAGAGGTGCCTCGGTGGCTGAGTTGGTTTAAGTGTCTGACTTCAGCTCAGGTCATGATTTTGTGGTTTGTGAGTTTGAGTCCCACATCAGGCTCTGACAGCTCAGAGCCTGGAGCCTGCTTCAGATTCTGTCTCCCTCTCTCTCTGCCCCTCCCCTGCTCGTGCTCCATCTCTCTCTGTCTCTCAAAAATAAACATTAAAAAAAGTTTTTAAAACATATATGCTTAAAATAAAAGAAAATGAGTTTATTTGACTGCAAAATAGGTTGTAAGCAAAAAGGATCTTTAATTTCTTGTGGCCCTTCTTTTCTTTCAGTGAACTGAATCCTGGAGAGCAATGAGTACCTATGAAGGGCAGATGAGTACTTCAGGTTTGGAGTCAGATGGACAGATCATTCCACTTCTGCTTCTCTCTGGCTGTATAAGATTGGGCATGATTCATCTCTTTTAGCTCTATAAGACTGTTATGAAGATAAAGTGATAGCACACACACACACACACACACACACACACACACTAACTGCTCAATAAATATTAGCTCTTACTTTATACTCTATTTTGTGTTTCTTTTTTTAATGTTTATTTTTGAGAGAGAGAGAAGCAGCAGAAAGAGAAGGGGTAAGAGACAATTCCAAGCAGTCTGCGCTGTCAGCACAGAACTCAATGTGGGGCTTGAACCCTTGAACTGCACAGTGAGATCATGACCTGAGCTGAAATCAAAAGTCGGCCACTTAACCGACTAAGCCACCCAGGTACCACATCTGTATTGTGTTTCTTGGATGCTTCAGGTTAAAGTTCTTTCTCTTCTATTTCCTCTAGGTAAAACATGTTACGTATTTGATTATTTAGATCTGTATCTTAACCTAACCTAAAGTTTCTAGAGAAATGAATCATTATAGTGTGTGAGATGTGAACTTTTTGTGAATTATAAGTGATCAGTCTCAATCCTACGTATTTGAACAAACCCGATTCCCATGAAAATCTGTGTATGACAAAGTAATTATAAAGCCCATGGTATTAATTTATGTATTTTAATAAGCAATGACTAAAACACCAATTCAAGATGACTAAAATATTAGAGTAGTTCTTAAGATTTGTATTATAGGGGCGCCTGGGTGGCTCAGTCGGTTGAGCGTCCGACTTTGCCTCAGGTCATGATCTTGTGGTTCCTGAGTTAAAGCCCCACATCGGGCTCTGTGCTGACAGCTCAGAGCCTGGAGACTTCTGTGGATTCTGTATCTCCCTCTCTTTCTGACCCTCCCCTGTTCACACTCTGTGTGTGTGTCTCTCTCCCTCAAAATAAATAAACATTAAAAATTTTTTTAAAAAGATTTATAACAGAATTACATCTGTATCATTGTTATACTTTTGAGGGAACTGCTAAGCCTTGTTTTACAGCTATAAGACCACCTTTTTGCCATATAACATTTAAAGAAGTTAAAAGCATAGGAATTAATATATTTGAAAAATCTCTGTCCTGTCCTTTTTAAGTGCCAAATTTCACTGTGACAAAATTATATTTTCCATTTCTTCAATGTATTTGGTAATTTCACAGATATACAAGTTTATATATTTCTTTGTTATAACTTTTCTGTATTGGATATTAAGAAATTATGATTACAAACTCATTTCATCAATATTAACCTCCTAAAATATTATTTTTATTTAAAACACAGTAAATAATTTGCACCAAGGTACAAAGGACCAGCTGGTTTGTTTTCAGGAGTTACTTGTTTATTAAAAGAAAATGTGGTAATTTGGAAAGTCTCTGATTCCCAGGGAAATCTTTACACCAGGTAGGTTCAGTGCTTGATGTATGTCATCACATTAATCCCTCAAGTAATGTTTCTCAGTAGATATTATTGCCTCTTTTTACAGATATAAAACTAATACCGTGATTAGTTGCCTAAGTTCATTCAAGAAACAGGAAAAATTGATGGAACCCATCTTTTTCTGACTGATCTTTCTCCACTTCCTCGTACTACTGCCTAATGACTCATTTCTGATAAAAATATGTCTTTGTGCAGAAACTTCTGACTCGCTTTCTTTGTTGGATGGAATGATGTTTTCTCTGAAATGGACTCTCAGGGGCCCACCTTTTCATAATTGCTCAAACTATTTTAGGGATGGAGTTGGTGTCTTTGCAATATGTGTACATACCTATATTGATTGCATAGATATGTATATTATTTATTATGTTCATAGTATCATGAGTCTCAAAATTGAGAGACTCCTATTCTCGGGGTACCTTTGAATCCAAGCCATGGATTCAGAGCAAGCAAGCCTCATTCTCCTTGGAGCAGCAACAGTTGCGGAAGGGAAGAATACAAGACTGATTCTTGACACATCTCTCTCTCTCTCTTACCTTCCATGTGGGATAATCCTTTATCAAGTTCTATTGATTTTATCTCCTAAAAACCAATGGGATCCAACAGCTTTTTCCATCTTCCAGTCAACATAAGTGTTTAAGCTGCCACACCACTCACCTTGATAACCATAACTGGATTTATCCCATGTGGTTTTCTCATACTCTTTCTTGCCTACCTGTATTTATTGTCATGATGCAGCCACAGCGATCTTAGAAAACACAAATCTTATCAATTCATTTCTTTGTTTAAAACCCTTGCCTTTTCAGTGCTTAAGTTTTTTTTCATTTTATTTATTTTAGAAAGAGAGCTGGGGACAGAGGGGTTAAAGGAGAAAGAGAGAACTCCATGCTCTGCCCATGCAGGACTCTATTCCAGGACCCTGAGGTCATGGCCTGAGCCAAAATCAAGAGTTGGAGGTTCAAGTGACTGAGCCACCCAGGATCCCCTTATAGCTTTTATTTTCATTTATTTATTTTTTTAAATTTTATTTATTTTTTTGAGAGAGTGCAAGCAGGGGAGGGATAGAGAGAGGGAGAGACAGAGGATCTGAAGCAGGCTTTGAACTTACAGCAGTGAGCCTGATGCAGGGCTTGGGCTCACAAACTGCAAGAGTGATCTGAGCCAAAGTTGGACATTCAACCACTGAACCACCTCATTGCTTTGAAAATAAAGACCAATACTAGTTTTTGGTGGGAGATAGATTTGAGATGTGGTGTTTCAAATATGCACAGAGCAGTAGTGTCTTTCATGCCTTTTCTCATGGTCTGATATTACGAAAACTTATTGTGACCTACTATGGAGACAAAAATTGTTTTTCTAGAGAATTTTCTGAACCATGGTATTAGTTCTGGTGTGTTGCAAGTTCACTTGCAGGGCTAATGTGGTAGATAGGAAGGTGCTATAGTAGAGGGCTTAACAGTATGAGCTTTGGAGTCAGGCTGCCAATGTTTGAAACATGCTTCTCTGCTCCTTGTTAGTGGAAAACTTACTTGGTTCCTCTGGGCTTCAATTTCTCCATCTGGAAAGTAGAAGAAACAGTCTCTTGTGAGGATCAAAAGGGATAATACATGTAAAATCTGCTTTCCAGAGAGCATGGCACATAAAAAGAACTCAGTAACCCATGGCTGTTTGCATTAGGTTCTTTGGCAGATAAGCAACATGAAATAGAGAAGAACTGTACCAAGTTCCCACCACCCCCCCCACCTTAAACTGCCATTAGATCAATAAAGGAGAGCTGAGCAATATAAATGTAGGTATTTTTCTTACATGTTAAAGTTTTAAGTGAGAAAGGGAAAATGACCACAGATAACTAAATTCAAAATAATTTAAAGAGATTACTTTGCTCAACTATAGAAAAAACACTGATGACTTTGTAGAAGAGTCATAACAGAGTAAAACTCAAACCAGAAGAAACAAAAATCTAAAAATTCTTAGGAGAACTTGAAAAATTGTCAGGACTTTCCAACACACTCCTTACTACAAAAGCAACAGGACTAGATGGTTCTATCATGGAATTCTATCATCTCAAAGGACCACACAGCTTCATTATTACCTGCACAGTTTCAGAGGATAGAGAGAAAAGAAAGTTTCAAAATGATTTTCATGAATCAAGTTTAATACTGATACCAAATTTTCACCATATCCAAAAACTTAAGTCCATTTTTATTTTTTTTAATGTTTTATTTATTTCTAGGAGAGAGAGAGACACACACACACAGTGTGAGCAGGGGAGGGTCAGAGAGAGAGGGAGTCACAGACTGAAACAGGCTCCAGGCTCTGAGCTGGCAGTCAGCACAGAGCCCGATGCGGGGCTCGAACCCATGAACCGCGAGATCATGACCTAAGCGAAAGTCGGATACTTAACCGACTAAGCCACCCAGGCGCCCCTTTAAGTCCATTTTTAGACAAATCTTTGCTAACATCTTGACCAAACTATGAATAAAAAGAATGAAGTAGGTTATGAACAGACAAATAGGATACACATAAGTGTACTCAGACACTTTTCTATGTATGAATACAATGATGTTTGATATTAGGAAACCATTATATATTCATTCCTATTTTTAAAATGTATTCATTTTGTTAGTTGATTGCAGAGAAAAACACATAGGCGTAGCTATACATGCTAATGGTATTTGAAAACATTTAACATTCACTCATTTAAAAAACCTTATTATGATATGATTAAATAGAAATCTCTATAATGTGACAAAAACATATGATGAAACACTAGACACATTCTCATTGAAGCCGAGGG